CAGATATACCACCTACTCCAACAATAACTTTGAGATGTCTCCATCTCTATAGGGTCTTACCCTCCAACATAGCTTCTTCTCTTCTTTCTCTGAACTATAGACTCCTTGAGACACCAAATACTTTTCTGTAAAGCATTGCATGCATATTCATGTATTATAAAATGGTGTCTACACCATTAATTGTGTCTACACAGAGGAAAATAGTCCTCAGAGGCTTAACCAACTGTATTTCAAATTCAGAAAAACTCCACAAAAGGATGAAGAACATACAATAGGATATTTTTGCAGTATTTTCTATTGTATTAAGGCATGGTGTTTTCTATTATAGAATCATAGTATTGCCAGAATTGGAAGAGACATTAAACATCATCCAGTTCCAACACCCCTGCTGTGGGTAGGAACACTTTCACTAGACCAGGTTGCTCAGAGCTCCATCCAACCTGGCCTTGGACACTTTCAGGGAAGGAGCATTCACAACTTCTTTGGCAACCTGTTCCAGTGTCTCACCACCCTCACAGTAAAGAATCTCTTCTTGCTATCTAGTCTAAACCTACTCTTTCAGTTTGAAGCCATTCCACCTTGTTCTGTCACTACATCCTCTTGTAAATAGTGTATCTCCATCTTTCTTGTAGGCTCCCCTCAGGTACTGGAAGGCTGCAATTAGGTCACCCTGAAACCTCTTTTCCGGCTGAATACTTCCAGTTCTCTAGTTTCTCATGTGTTGGTTCTTTTCCCTGTAACACCATATATACATCCCATCTTACAGACTTCGACTAAAATTACAAGAAAGGTCTCATAATGCAAAGACTTTGCAGAAAACTCAGCTGAACCAAAAAAAAAACCAAACAAGCTGGACTTTGGATATTTATCCTGATATGAACTTGCTTTAAACGGTTTGGTATTTTCTCATTCAAGGTACTGCTTTAGAATAGGATTTTCTAATAATCTCAGTTTACCTTCAGTTCCAGGAAAAAACAAGTGCTATTTTCTTCTATATGCTCTTTAATACATGGCTTTTGTATTGAATATATGAAAAATGTTTGTGAATCTCAAGTACTCATGAATTTGTATTTTAGAGATGTATAGCAAGAAAATAAAGGATGGGTGACTGTAGAGAGTCAGAGTAATCCCAGCATTTCCCACTGGCCTAAAGAAGATGCTTCTCAGATATTTCTATTTGCTTGAGCACAGCCATGTCAACAGGAACATTATGAAACTCCAGTTCTTTGAGGTTGTCCTACATCACACGAGAGGTTCACCTGCTGATGCCTTCTGAAAAGGTCATCACACATAACTGTATTAGCTGAATGGTTGCAGCAGACCTAGATTCTGTCGAAATTTCCCATGCAGAACTGTGGCACAGTACACCTTGCCTGCACACTGACGGATGTGAGAAATTAAGGTATATTATTACATCAACTTTCTAAATTTTACACCTAGGTAATTTGCACAGATAAACTACTTTTCTGCCTTCTCCCTCCATGTTAGCCTTTTTATAATCTCTTTCAATGTTGATTTTCAGTAGTTGTACTTATGATGCCATATCCAACATAGGCAAAACAGATCATCAGTTGTGATCAACAGACTCATGTCCTTTGGTCAGCACCTGTTCTGCCTAGTGTCTTGAACTGGCTCCGAGATGGGGTTTATGTCCCAAGAATAAATCCTTGACATGGAGTACATCCAATTTCCTAGAAATGTTGATACTTAGCTGTACCGTATATGCAGCCTGGTGCTAGTGACAGCCAAGCAGGCTGATGACCTTTCTACTGATAATTGTCTTTAAATAAAATTAAAACTTCAGCCAGCTATAAACTGGCTTAAATTTTTAAAAGTCACTTTCAAGCTTGATTGACAGTTATAGCTGGAGACTAAACACTTTCATGCACTGGTTAAGTAAAATGTAGCCAGTTGCAATGCTGTCTCTCCAGTGAGATGGGTCCAATTCTGTAGATGACAGAGGGGTTCCAAACCTCTAGTTTATTCTGTCTTGTCTCTCAGGTGACAGTATCAGCTACGGCACCAGCAGTGGTATCTTCTGCTACCTTCTAGTAGCTCAAAAAAGAATTGAACAATGAGCACTAGTGACCTGGACAGCATTTGAACTAGAATTGTATGTTGTACAAAGAGTCTCCACAGCTGCAAGAAGTTCCTTGTTCTACTTACAGTTAAAAACAATCTTTCCTACACATAAACTTGAAAGTTTATCTGAGTTGCATGTTGTCCTGATTTTTCCTCATGCTGACTACAAAAACAGCTGCCTTCAAATCAGATGTGTGAGAGGATTTCAATTAAAAAAGATGCTGACCAGCCTCACTGTCCTCATAAAAAGTTTTACCACTTCTTCTTTCACCATCCTGTAGTTCACAGGAATTGAATGAAAATAAAATTACAAAGAACATCAAAGGAAGAATTGAACAATAGCCCTGATTTTGAAAGTTATTTCAAGGTCAGAATAGGTGTAACCTAAGCTTTATCCAGAAAACAACGTTCCAGGACAAGATGCCAAAGATGCTTTTTGTAGTTTTATCTCATAGTTGCTTGTCATGCTTCTGAAACAAGAGAGAATACTTAATAAAATATGTACTCTTGTAGACAATTTGTTTGGGGTCTGGCTAAATAATAGGTGAGAATGTTATTTTGAACAGTGACAATTATGTCTCTTCAATAATAGTACTCTGTTGTTTTTAAAACTTTTGAATGATGGATTACTGGTGTGATCTCCGATTCAGAAAGAACTGTATAATCCCCTTGCTGTGCTGCAAAGTGCCTCAGCAGCACTGCACTGATGAAATCCCGCAGGCATGATCTGAGAGAGCACACACTGTGCTGCCAGGTGTTCTTGTGGCTTAAAGTACTCCAAGGATACAACTATCTGTCTAGCAATAGTGGGATTCAATGCCAAAAGATTTCTTTACTATCACTCATATGTGCTGAAACAGCACACATAGCAAGAGTTCCCAGAAAAATCAACTACCATTAAAAAAAAAGAAAAGGTACACATTAAGAGAGAGATTTCTCTGGCACAATTCAGAGCTACTCTCTTGACATAGAAGTGCAATATCAGATAAGGATCTGGCCCATCCAATTTGAATTCTTTAATATATGCATTCTTTAAAAATAAATAATTGAACTGTCAGTTCCATCTAACTGCCTCATTACTGTTCTTTCGTTTCCTGACAGCACCTCAAAAATAGTTAGAAGAAGGAATTTGCATAAGGAGAGAGCTCACAAGAGAAAGAGCAGGCTGTTATACAGAAAAGGGAGAGCATGTAGAATAGCAGGTAGCACAGAGATGAGTGCAGGGGAAGCAGATCACTGGGCCAGTCAGTACTGAGGTACGGGATGAAACAGCAGAAAAGTAAACCATACCTGGGGAAATGTGGCTTGGAAGGTGTTAAGAGTGTACTATTTAAGTAGTTTAAGTTAAAAGGGACATTATGTACCAAGGAAAGACAAATTTCATGTTCCCTGTGTCCTCTGAGTGTAAAAAAGGTCCCTAACAAGCCAATTCTCAACAGTGGAAGGAGACTACATTAATGCATCCCTTCCAACCCAGTACTATCACATCTAGAGATCTCCTCTGTGCCAGTAGCAGAAAAAACCTCACAGGCAGTATTTTTTCATTGAAAGCAGCACTGAAAACTACCCACTTGGCAACTAATGAATAGATCCTTATTTTCCTGCCTTTCTTACGCTACAGGCTGTGAGACTGTCTGATCATCTGAATTTCAGAGCAGTTGTGCATAGAAAAAGAAGACAGCCTAAAGCTGCAATACCTGCCTGCCTTTAGTAGTAGTCACAGTAATTCCTTATAGTACCCCCACCATGCTGATAGGGAGGGCAGTGATGTCCCCCTTCTCTTTTCAAACAGTCAGAACAGTCAGCACCAGAAGTCAGTGGAGGTGTCAGTGTGAGAGGACTTCAGAGTTCAATGCTCAGCTCCTGCTGAACCCTCGTCCGACCTCTGGTGACGCTGTATGTTCAGAGGATAGCTGGGGAGACACAGAACATGTGAATGACAAACGAAACAGGAACCACTCACAGTAACCAACTATTGTCCTTTGCCTTCTAGTAGAAGAGCATTTATATCTGTCCTTTGTTCTACAAGGGCAGTGGATTCATATATTTTTAATAATGAAAAAATATCTTTAAAACTATTTTGCAGATCTTATAGCCACATCACTACTGCACAGTGAAATGCAGTCCCTTCTGACGCTAAGCAGCATTGCAATGGCTCTGCCTTACACTGAGTAAGTGCCAACCATTGGGTTCACTGAACTAAAATCAGTATAGCATGTGGGTAACTGTAGACATTGAAACAACCAGTCAGCTGCAAAATTTACTCATCTTGTGTGGATGTGTACAAAGTTTATGTATATCTGCAAATCAAGCTATCACAAGAATAGATGTCAAAATAAACAGTGGAAATAGAATTGATCATACAACAACAGCAAATCTTTTATTCTCTCCTCATAAGTGCCGACTACAACAGTAACTATTAAATATATAAGATACATGACTATCTTGATTTGATAACAGCACTTCTCTGCATTTTGAGAGTTTAAAAAATGGAGTAGTAATGCAATTATGTATGTTTAGGAGCCTAATATAATTGATTTTCTGACCAGCAAGGATACCAGTGGGAATTATCTTGGTCCAAAGAAATCAGTGAATAATGACACAAAGTCCTGTTTTGGCAGAAGTACCATAGAGATGTCTTACATAAAAGTCCATAATCTAGTCAGCTTCAGAAATCCAAGCTGAAGTCCAAATATGTCAAGTTGATAACAACTGTTCCAGTATCACATGATAACACATGGTTCTTATATAGTGTTATTGCACAATGTTTTCATACGTAGCTTGTTTCTGTCTACATTGTCAATAATCAAATTGTAACGAGTGACTACCATACTACTTGACTGAATAAAACCTTGTCTTTCTAGGGCTGGATTTCTGAATACGATGACTGCAAATGAGAATCTAATGCTTACTGCCATTCAGCTCTTTTGAAATTGTCAGTATGTGCCTGCATAAGCAAGGACCTCCAAGGGGTTTCATGGTGCAACTGATATGCCAAATGCTGAGAATAATCCCTCTTCAGTATGTCTTCATGGGGAGGGTTCTTGGGAAACATCTATTTAAATAGTCAGGAAAAAATGGATAGAAGGGGATGGATAGAATATCTCAAGCATAAATCACTGTACTTCATATACAAGCACTTTCACTGTAGTACTTTTGGACTATGTTATTCTCCATCTTAACTGCCCATTCAAATTGCATTTTCAGCTTTCAGCAGAAGTGTGTGAAGAAACATTTGTTTGTCTCATATGGTTCCTCACCCTTTTCCAAAAATTATCTTTTCCCCCCAATCACACCAGGAATTTGCTTTCTGTTAACTGCTCAGTAAAAGAGAGTGCCTCAGGGCTTTATTAAGTAGGATTTCTGAGAGACTGAACTATGTGTAACCTAAATTGGCTTCATAAGTGGTTTCTGGAGGGCATAGTGCAGTATTTATACGCATAATCGCCTTTCACCTTGATGTTAATTATATACTTTGCCATTCAAAATAAGTCATGGCCATGAGCTGAAGCATTTGTAAAGTAAACATGTCAGGAAAGCAAGATACTGTAAAATGAATTTAAATAGTCAATTCAGCACTCCTAAAAATTCCTTTTCTTTTTACCCCCAATCTCTAGTGTGACCCGAGCAGAAAACAACCATTGGTCTCTAAAAGGAGGGCAGAAAATTTTCACCTCTCTAGGTTACTTTTTTCTCCAAATATGATAATAAAAGAGCCTTGCTGGTTAATGACAATTTAAGAGCTATAAGAGCCTCAGGGTCTCATAAAACACATTTTAACTAGGAAAAAAAATTACATAATATGTCATTTTTGCATTTCATTTTCTACTCTTTTCTTCCCTTTTCTAAATCAATGATATTTATACAAAAACAGGATCTTTATTTCTGATCTGTGTTCTACTCCACTGAAGTCAATATGCCAGATTTTTGAGAATTAATTTTTTCTACTGGGGTTTATTATGTGCTGCTTAAGTGAGGACAATAAGAACACAGCAAAAATCACCATGATCCAGAAAGCAAAGTCTCTGACCTAAAGAAATGGCATCCAGAATTTACTGATTGCCAACAGCAAATAATTATGAGTTTGGAAAGGCCTGTTCCAGAGCTGGCCAGCTTTAAAGAACTGGCTCAACTGAGACAAAAGTACTAGATTTTACAAGAACATTTTGGAGGTATTTAAGAAAAATCATAAAAAATATGCATTGCAAAATAAAGATATGGAGATGTTTTTGTTTAAATTGGTATCTGCCAGCGTGTTGACAGTCCTTTGAAGACTCAGTACAAAGAGGTAGCTCAGGTTTTTTCCTGTCATTTCAGGCCTTGAAACTACCCTGTTCACTTTCTACTGAATAGCCCATCTCTGCCCCTCAGTAGTCCCTCTGGGGCACTGCCTCTGAATCTAGGCTGTGCTCACTTCTAAATTGCCTCCTACTTCAAACACCAAAATTCTGTGTGAACAATTTCCCATTTCTCCTTTGGTTGAGATCTCCATTTTTGTTCTCTTTTCCATTCACCATTTTGTTTGCCTGATATCTAAATGCTAATCAAGTCCTCAATGTTTCTCTGTAAGCCCATCAAAAAAAACCCAAACTAAAATATAAAAATAAATGTGTGTAGCTTCAGAAAAAGGCATGACAGAATTATGGAAGACAAAACCACTGAAAGGTTCAGTAGCTGGGACATTATTTTGGGGAAGTTTTTATGTTTTCTTCTAAACCACTGCTGATGGATCATGTTAAATCAGACTGCTGAGACAAATAATACTTTGATCTGAGCCAGTAGGGTTGTTCTTAGACACCACCTGTACAATACCTCCATTCTCTGTTTACTACCTTCTGTTTCTTTACAGAAGCTAAGCCTAAGCTTCTTGCAGAATAATTTTGTTGATATCTGTCATACTCTATAAACTAAGCACTATTTCATAAGCCTGTAACATCACCCCTTTGTGTCATACTGGATAGTAGCTACAAGTATAATAGATCACATTAATACTAAAAATATCATTATGAAGCACTTTCTTTAAGATTACAGTACTAAAGTTTAGATAAAGAATTTCTCACCTCCTTCAGGATATTAACTGCAAACAGAAAAGAATGATGATGGCATTGACTAAGCACACAGTAGAATAAAAAAAAAATTAAGGAATTAAGTCTCTTTTAAGCCATTATTTTTACTGATAAAGTTTAATTTTGCCTTTATAGACTGTAGTTTAAGTCTTCACTCAAACCTCTAGAAAGTACCAGAGTCCTCCTGTACTCAGCACTGGTGAGACTGCACCTCAAATCCAGTGTTCAGTTTTGGATCACTGACAACAGGACATGGAGGTTCTTGAGCGTGTCCAAAAAAGGGCCACAAAGCTGGTGAGGTGTCTGCAGCACAAGTCAACTGGGGAGCAGCTGAGGCAGCTGGGATTGTTTAGCCTAGATAAAAGAGATTCAGGGGAGACCTTGTTCTCTCCACAACTACCTGAAAGGAAATTGTGGCAGTGTGGGGGTAAGTCACTTCAGCCAAGTAACAAGTGTTAGGAGAAAATGGCCTTAAGTTGTGCCAATAGGAGTTTAGATTGGATATTGGGAAAAAATTTGTTCACTGAAAGGCTGGTCAGGTATTCAGATAGGCTGACCAGGGAAGGAGTGGGATAACCATCCCTGGAAGTGTTCAAAGGGTATGTGCATATAGCACTTGGGGACATGCTTTAGTGATCAGTGCAGTGGTGCTGGGTTAACAGTTGGACTCAATGATCATAGTGGTCATTTCCAACCTTAATGATCCTGTAATTCTATGAAAGACATTCTCAGTTTTCAGTTCAAACTAGTCCTAATCCAAAATCCTCTGTGAGATGCTTAGATATTTTGATGTTTCTGTCTTCTTTGTAGCATTTCAAGTTACTCATGCTGCTTGAAAACACACGTAGTACTAAACTAATAAATACGTAGTACTAAAATGTCCATGAACATTTTGAGGTGTTTTGAAAGAAGATGTAAAATTCCCCACTACCAATTATTAGAACAGTTGTTATAGTCTGATCTTATTTCCTTTCAAATTTCAGTGAATTCTATGTCCTTTCTTAGGAAAAGGTGTGAACATCTTTACCCAGTTGATAATTTTTCTGGCACTTTGGAAAATATCTTATGCCTCATTATTAATAATCTTTTTGAAGTGTATCTGTTTGCCAGTACTTTGTTCCCTTCTATTTTCAAATTGTCAAATAACAGCTGAGGTGTCTTATATGCAGCAGCTGATTCAAATGCATTATTTTGTTCAGGTTGCACTATTGTACTTCAAGGCATCACTCTGATTGCTCTGGCAGTCAAGATTTTCCAGGCCTTGCCATAAAATCTGCTAGCTTATAGCATGTAGGATGTATTTCAGAGATGACTCTAAGCCAGTTTTGTAACATGGTGTTTTAAGTATATAAATCAGCAACCATCAAGAATAATGATTCAAGCTAACAGGTTTCTACAACAGTGATGCAATTTATTAAACTGCTCACTGTTACTTGCAAAACAAGCAAAGTTGAGCTGAGATAAATAAGCTTTAAAATGTCACCATGAGGAATAGTATCTGAAAGAGCTAAATTGCTCATAGTAATGAACAAAATGAACAGACAGCATTAAATAAGTCACAGGGAGACAGACCTTCACCTCATTGCAGAGTTGTAGTACCACTAACTACTGGATATCACATTCTTAAGGTATCTAAAGAGATATATTACTTATACCAAAACATTTTTAAGTAACCTTTATTTGGAAAGTATTTTACAAAAATGAATAATGCATGTAATGAAGCATTAGTGCAACAAATACATCCTAACCAACCTGTAACTGAAAAAGAAGGAAGAAGGTAATAAATTACTTGGAAAATGCTTAAATATCTACATGAGAAAGATCTGATGCAGTTGTGACTGCATACATCCCACAGTGACAAAAGGGGTTTATGCAACTAAAGATGAGAGAGATATTGATTCCTCAATATCTAGTAGTATTAGCCGTAGCAAATTATTTAACACATTTCCCATTAACTACACCAGGTAAAGGTTATGGCTGCAGAAAACTATTTCGGTAGTCAGTCTTAAGAATAACTTTACTCCAGAGAATAAGAAACCATAAATGAATCAATATTTTCACCAGAGCTGGCTGAAGTATAGATAAAAGCCCTATCATTACATTCACCAGCTTATTCTGTCATTAAATACACCTAGATTAATATGAATACTAAGAAAACTATGACACGGAAAGTAGTAACAGAAACCAATCCCACATTGATACAAGAACACCCTTTTAATTTCATTCTTTTGTCCACTTCAAGCTTAAGCCTCCAAAAAGATAGTATTGGTCACAGCATTAATCAAATATACCAGCAACATTCATTATTAATCATAAAGCAGTGTTTAGTTTCAGGGGTTTACTATCACATCTCATGTACTTCAAAAATTATATGTCTTTTTCCATTTTGATCCCATTAAATTGACTGAGAGCCTTTCCATAGCCTGCCTTAGTCCTGAGTGGGGTTCACAGACTCTCCAATAAAGGAGTTCAAGTAAAAGCAACACAAATAATGAAGGGGTTTATGCAGCAAATATATGAAACCTATAAAAGCTAAGTGAGTTACCGTTAGGTACAGGTCTGGTTTATTATGCTTATTTTGGCAAAATGAGAGCTATCTCCAAAAATGAGGAGTTAGAATTCTCTCTATTCTTCTTCCCAGTCGACAGAATTTCCAGCTCTATGAGAAAAGTTTAGTTCTCATAGGCCATTTGGCCCCTGTTCTCCTGCTCAGAACATTAGCTGGCTTGCAAATTAAAACATTTCCTACCACAGGGTGCATGTCCCACTAAAGCTACATCGACACCAAATGGTACAATCACCATGGGGAAATGATCAAAGTCTACTGATACACTCACACACTTGTGGATATCACTTACTCTTGCTCCTTGAGCAAAAGCCTCTTGTAACACTAACTAAATTCAGCTTTCAATGTTATTGAAACATAAAAGACAAACTTTACTGTTCAATTACAGTATCACAGGTAGTAATTCTAATGTTACAAAATCTTGTAAAAAAACTAAAATCCAATGGCCCCTTTCACATAAACCACTAAAAACACATTGGATGCTTTCGCTTGCATCCAGCTATTTCACTTCCATCGAGCTATTTCCTAACTGATTGGGATTGAGATAAGTTTCCAGGTATTAAGAAACTGCTGTCTCCTACCACCATAACAGGAATGTTTTCAAAACTTCTGATCAGCATTTCTGTTCTTCCTCTAGTTGTGAGAAGAAAACCTTATCTACATCTACTGATGACATCATAGCTCAATTTTTATGAAAGAAAATTGAAAAAAATTCAGTAAGCATACTAAGAATTAGTTGACTGTTCCTCAACATGAAATAACAAGTAAGGACAAGGACAGAATTAAAATAAACAAACGTTACTGATAAGAGAACTCACTCCATCATCCTTTTGATGATTCCATCCCCATGAAACTTTTACTATGTCTTCAGTTCAGTGTAACAAAAAGAGAAAACTAAACACTTTGTAGTTATTAACCAAGAGGTAAAAAAAATATCAAAATTTAAAGAATCTAAGCTCTGATTAAAACTTTCACATGTCCTACTTAAAACTTTAGTTCAGTCATACCTGAAATCATCTACCAAAAAAATGAGGAGTTAAATATTTTAAGACTTCAATTTAACCGTAGAGAATCACAGAATATTCTGAGTTGGAAGGGACCCGTAAGGATCATAAAGGTCCAACTCCTAGATCTGCATGGGATCATCCACAAGAATCCCACCATGGGCCTGAGAGCATTGTTCAAACTCTTCTGTACTCCGACAGGCTTGGTGCTATGACCACTGCCCTGGGGAGCCTGTTCCAGTGCCCAACCACCCTCTAGGTGAAGAACTTTTTCCTAATATGTAACCTAATTCTCTCCTGACACAGCTTCAGGCTATTCAGGACACTCTCTAATAGCTGAATATCTTTTCTTATATCGTGGTGCCCAAAACTGCACACAATATTCAAGGTGAGGTCACACCAGTGCAGAGCACAGTGGGACAACCCCCTCCCTTGATCGGCTGGTGATGCTTTGCCTGACGCCCTCCCAGACACAGTTGGTCCTCCTGGCTGCCAGGGCACTGCTGACTCATATTCAACTAGCTGTAGACTAGGACCCCCAGGTCCCTTTCCATGGCACTGCTTTCCAGCATCTCATTCTGTATGTACATCCCAGGTTGCCGCATCCCACGTGCAGAATCCAGCACCTTCCCTTGTTGAACTTCATGTGGTTGGTGATTGTCCAGTCCTCTCTTTGTTGAGGTCTCTCTACAGGGCCTCTTTCCCTTGGAGGGAATCAACAAGCTTCTCCCAAGTTTGTATAATCTGCAAAGTTACTTACTATCCCTTCCAGTTCTGCGTCCAAGTAATTTTTGAAGCTGTTGAAGAGCACAGGGTCTAAGATGGAGCCCTGTGGAACTGGGTCATACTTTAACCCCAGCCGGAAACAAAGCACTTCAAAGGCACTCCCTCACTGCTGGAGTAAAATTGAGAACACTCATTACTCGAGATAAAAGGCAGTTTATCAGAAAAAGCAAAAGACCTACATGCAATCAAAGCTGGAAACACCATCACTGACACCACTGCCACCACTGCAGTGGGCTTCTCTGCCTGTGTATTGTCTCCTGCACTGCTAGAGAGCCCGGCCTCTCCTCTTACTTCTGCCATGTCAGGTCGGTGTCCAGCAGACCCACTGGCACGTGCTGGTGGTGAAGCAAGGCCCCTGAAGACACAGCTGCCCACTTCATGTGGGCTGGGGTTGGCCAGTAGCCATGGAGCCCATGTGTGGCCAGCGTGGCCATGCAGCCATTGTGACAACACTGGTGAGGTTGGTTCTGTAAAGCCCTGGTGTCACAAAGGGCTCCACCCGGGCACCCCTATAAAAGCAGGGTAGCCACATACGCCGCTCAGCCAGCACCACCATGGCCGGTTACAGACGGAGGAGGGGCAGGGCTCGCAGGAGCAGGAGCAGGAGCCAGCCAAACCTGCACAAGACACGTCGCGCCGGCCAGAGCCGCTCCCGCCGCCGGAACACGCGGATGAGGGGCCATGCCGGCTACGCTGGCCAAGATGAAACAGGTAGCCCCCCCACCGGCAGGCGCCGGCCCCCAAATAGGAGACGCAGACGCCGTCCCGTGGAGGAGGAGCCGGAGGAGCCAGAAGAGCTGCCAGACTTTGAGTTTTAGAGCCAGAGGCTCCGAGACCACCAGCCACCACACGGGCACGGCTACAACAATAAAGCATACAAAGCTTGCATAATGGCTGTGGGTCTCTCTGGTGCGCCTGCGTGGCAGTCACGGGTCTCTTGGTGTTCATCCAGGTCCCAGGATCATGGGTGGCTGTTGTGATTCGCCTCGGAAGAGGAGGGTAATCCAGGTTCTTATCAATAAATCCCTTGGGGTGAATTAGAGTAAAACGACACTGAATAATCAGTGTTTATAAACATTTATATATAAGGTTTATTTTGGAACAATTTTGTTTCAAAGCTAAACAGGTATGTTGCCATTTTCAATGTTATCATCTATAGCAATACAGCAATATTAGAGTATCTATAGCAATATAGCAATATTAAAGCATAGCAATAAAGCACTATTAAAGCATAGCAATATTAAAGCATAAAGATAACATTTAAGGAAATGCATAAGGGAAGAGAAAGAGAAAGAAAGTATAAAGGTGAAAAGATATATATATAGTCACCACCCACTGGATCCAGCAATGAAACTTGGTAGTTACAACTTCCGTGTTTCTTCGTTACGCTGGTGGTCTTGATCTGTTGGGGCTGGGGGAAGCCCCCCCCCTAAACTCCAAAGATATTATGAGTTACAATACAATTCCAGCTCAAGTGCAGGGAGTTTTTCAATGGATAGTGTCACGGGACATTTCATTGAGTCTCTGACATCTCCTAAGACAGCTACAGCTGCCTATTGTGTCAGCATCAATCATGGTCCGATATTTGAGATGCATAGCCCAGGCTAGATGAGCAGAGTTATCATGTAAAGGGAGGAAAGTGGCATGTTAACAGGGATTCTCCCACCTTGCAGGATTTGTCTCTTCTTAGCCTCTCCCCTTATCTGGAGATCCAGTTTGTAGCTTCAGGTATTCATCTGCACCCAGGATAGTTCGGCAATGACACCCACTTATCTGATCTGAAGGTCCTTTGGCAGTATTCAGTTTGGCGTGGGCTTTGCTGGGTGAGCAACTGCTTCTTTTCAGTTTGCAAAAGTCCATTTCCAACAGCTGTGAGCAACCCAATGCATGGGAGTAACACGTGGGAGTGTTTGGGATCATAAGCATGTACAACAGTGGTGCACACCCAGGAGCAGGGATACTCCTGTGAGGGAAGGGCATGCCCAAGAATGTGATCAGACAGAGGTGTTCTTGTGCAGGACGTGTATGTTCAGGCATGATGTTCCCATGTGGGATCTGTTGGAGGATGTTCTTGTGTGGCATGTGCATGTCCAGGGTTGTCCTTGCCCAGGATGGGGTGTGAATGTGTCTGCAACCCATGGCAGTGCCTGCCCCATGGGGAGTGCACGTGATGATGGCAACATGGATAACCCCTGCTCCTGGCCACCGGTCCCCTGGGCTCCCTTTTAAGTCCCTCTTATTGCAGGGTCCTGAATAGCTGAGCAGAGCCCACACAGAGAACACTCAGCGTCTCGTACCCTCTCCTGCAGCAGTTTTGGGGCATAAAGGGTAAAGGCCAGACACAGCATCGCTGGTGGCTCTTCCTGTCCCACTCCTGGCTCTCATCTCGGATGTTCTCTCACCCTCCTCCCACTCCTGGTAGATTTGTCACATTGTCCTTCCCAGATCTCCTTGTGGGACCCTGTGATAGGTTTCTCAACACTACTGAGCTTCCCCCTCCCTCCTTGTGGTGCTCTGTACCTGTAGTAGGCTTGTGTTTGTGAGAGCTTGGAATTGAGAAGACTGTGGGGAGAGCATCTAGGAGAAGATGCCACCAGTAGCTCCCACGTCAGCCAACTGGTTCCAAGGACTTACCACTGGCCAAGGCTGAGCCCATTCACAAAGGTGGTAGCGCTGCAGGAATAAAGTCTTTTGGGAATAGATACAAGAAACAGTCCTGCAGAGCCCAGGGCAGAAGAGAAAGAAGGGAGGAGGTGTTCCAGGCATAGCAGCAGAGATTCCTCTGCAGATGCACAGGAAGGCCACGGTTTGCAGGTTCTCACTCTGCAACCCATGTTGTACCACAGCTGAGCAGATGTGCCCCTGTAGCCCGTGGACATCCATGATGGAATCGGGTCATGCCCCAACCCCAGCCAGAAACAAAGTGCCACAAAGCCACTCACTCCCCCCCACCAGCTGGCTAGGGGAGAGAATCAGAGGAGCAGAAATGAGAAAACCTGTAGCTTTAGATAAAAGCCAGTTTACTAGGGAAATCAAAAGCCACACGTGCAATCAAAGCTGAAAACACCATCAGTGCTACCAGCACCAACGCTGCAATGGGCTCATCTGTCTTTGTGGTGCCTCCTCCCACCACACCACCTGCACTGCTGGTCAGCCCTCCTATGTCTCCTGTGTCAGGTCGGTGTCTAGCAGACCCACTGGCACATGCTGGTGGTGAAGCAAGGCCCCTGAAGACACAGCTGCCCACTTCATGTGGGCTGGGGTTGGCCAGTAGCCACGGAGCCCATGTGTGGCCAGCGTGGCCATGCAGCCATTGTGACAACACTGGTGAGGTTGGTTCTGTAAAGCCCTGGTGTCACAAAGGGCTCCATCCGGGCACCCCTATAAAAGCAGGGTAGCCACATACGCCGCTCAACCAGCACCACCATGGCCGGCTACAGACGGAGGAGGGGCAGGGCTCGCAGGAGCAGGAGCAGGAGCCAGCCAAACCTGCACAAGACACGTCGCGCCGGCCAGAGCCGCTCCCGCCGCCGGAACACGCGGATGAGGGGCCATGCCGGCTACGCTGGCCAAGATGAAACAGGTAGCCACCCCACCGGCAGGCGCCGGCCCCCAAATAGGAGACGCAGACGCCGTCCCGTGGAGGAGGAGCCGGAGGAGCCAGAAGAGCTGCCAGACTTTGAGTTTTAGAGCCAGAGGCTCCGAGACCACCACACGGGCACGGCTACAACAATAAAGCACAGAAAGCTTGCATAATGGCTGTGGGTCTCTCTGGTGCGCCTGCGTGGCAGCCACGGGTCTCTTGGTGTTCACCCAGGTCCTAGAATTGTGGGTGGCCCCCGGGTAAGCGTGTTCGTGTCCAATTCCATGTCCAACAGCTGTGAGAGATCCCACGCATGGGAGTCTTTGGGATCAGAGTAACAGGCCACAGACACGCCTGGTTTTTATCTCGAGCCACAGGTTTTCTCAATTTTATTCCTCCACTTCTCTCCTCCAGAAAGTTACCCTCAAAGCCCCAGCAGTACGCTGGCACTGGGCACAAAGCACCAAATGTTCTTCTTTGTGTGGGCTCTGCTTGGCCTCTTGAGATCCTGCAAAAACAGAGACCAAAAATGGACTCTAAGGAACCAGTGGCAGCAGCAGGGACATCCATGTGGGCTTGGTCACATGTACTCCCTGACAGGGAAAGATTACATCTAGTGTTTATGTTCATCTATTCATCCTTGAACACCTTCAGAACTTTTCATTGAATAGTATCCAGGCCTGAACATCCTTAGTAGTATGTTTTATAAAATTTATATGCATTTTTACAATATTCTGTATATTTATTAGCAGCAATGTAATTTAAAGTAAAGGTTCTCTTCCCATAGATCTCCTCAGATTTCATTCTAGCAGTGACATTCCACTTAAGGATGTGGAAACTAGTTTACTAATGGAACTTATCCCATAGGTCCTATAACTTAGAAAAGTTTGCCTAGATTTAAAAATTGATTGGAAGAATTAATGGAAGAAAAACTGTCAAAGGCTATGAAGTATAAAGACTTCTCTTCAGGTCCAGGAATACTTGAGAGTATCCTCTGGGCAAGTTTATAAGTTTGACCTGCTCAAACAGTACTTTGGCATTCACTGTTGACCACTACTGGCCATTCTTTTGTAATTATGTAATAAATGAGAAGGACAAAGCCCAGTCAAAGAGAAAGAAAGTTCCATCTTTTGCCTGATATAACGTCAGGCACTCAGAAACATCCATCAGTGAGAGCCAACTCTCAGCATAGAAAAGAAACATTTATTTCTTTATTTCCTTTCTGTAGCAAAGAAATATGTCCTTATCAGCCCGCTACACTAAATCAGCTCTGGTCTGACATGCACTTCAACAGATGCACTTCAACACCTGGTTTGTTCCACGGTGCTAATGGACAAGTGTCCTCTGCATAGAAGCAATGGTTTTAATGAGAAGTTTGGTGAACCCAAAAGACCTTTAATGAGTCAGTGAGGTACCGAGACTGAACTTGCTATTCAGTCTTGTGGGAACCTTGAAGATTTGATGTATGTTTTGCTCCATTGCTGCATAAACAGAAGCAAGGCTGTCAGGTTGAAATGGTTCACCACTGCAAAATACCCTCGCAGGCTCAAGAAAAGAAATAAATATGAAGGGAGGAGCAAACAATCCAAAACCAAAGATAATTACTAGGGATAAGGAAAAGAGCTGTTTAGCATTTCAAAAGGCATCTTCCTTCCTACATATGATCACAGTGTTCCAAATCCATCAATAAACCCAGAAATCCTGAAGCTAGAGTAGCAGCTAGTTTG